TCGTAGGCTAATACATAGATGGCGCTACTAGTATCAAATCCATATGATTTTCAGTTAACCCTAACCTTTAAAAGACACGTGTACAAATATCACAGCTGTCGGACTATTAGTTTGTAGGATAGAACATTTTGAGTGAGGGAACTTTTGTTTGTTTGAAGAAAATATATAAAAAGAAATTTTATGTGTTAATAAAGCATGGATTTTTGACGAAAAAAATACTGTTGAAGCTAAAGCTTGGCTTGCTGAACTTTACTCGGACTTTGCACCAAGAAAATCAACCGTTACGAAGTGGTTTACTAAGTTTAAACGAGGAAAAATGAGCGCCTGGGACAATGCATACAGTGGACCTCCCAAAGAGGTTGTTACCGACGAAAACATGAAAAAGTCTACAAAATAATTTTAGATGACTGCAAAGTAAAGTTTATAGAGATAGCCGAGGCTCTGAAAATATCTGAATCAAAAACTGCAAGCAAAAGTGCAAGCAAAGAATGTTCAAAGAATGTAATACGGGAGTGTTGTGCTAACATAAATCCCCTATTTATTAGACTCCACAAAGTCTGTGAATGACAGGATTATAATTTGTAAGAAGCGGGAAGGACGGCATATTGAAAGATGATTATTGGGATGACTCAATGAAAGCTAATATGTTTTGAAATGAAATGAAATGAAAAAAAATTAATGAGCTATGCAACAAAGATGAATTTCTAGAGCTGCATTTATTTTTTCTGATAACAGGCCAATGTGGGTATTTTTTGGAAGATATGACGTTAAAGTCTTTTATTATTCAAAATTATGGAGTTGGAATCATGTTTCGTTCGAATCGATACAGCGCAAAATTCGAAAAAATCGAAAAAAATTGGAAAAAAACAGTAGTAGAAAAGACAGTGATTATTTCAGATTTGAAGAAATGCAGAAATTCACTGGTGAATCAAATTAATAATAAATCTATCCATGAATATTGCGGACTTTATGTGTGACACTGTATATCAAATTGGGTTCTCGTTAAATTCGTTCAAAAATTCATTACCTCTGTCACTATTCAGGAAAAAACCATTGAAATTAGAACGAAATAGCCAACAGCTATATATAACTTTATAATATATTATTTTTCGATGTCTGACCATCATATTAATTAATTATTTCATTACCTTTCCATTCCCTTTTAATCATCATGAATGATACAGTCTTCAGACTTGTTTTGATTTCTGAAATATTGTAATGGAATTATTTGAACTGAAACTCTCAAATCAGAGTTGGAATAATCCTTATCAACAAATGATTTTTGGTCCAGTCATCTTACTCAAAATTAGGTGAATATCTCGGAATCTGAGATACCCAGCTATAACCTTGAATTTCGACATCCTGAAAGTTGTCTCAAAACTTACATATGGTAGGGTGTATACGACTACTAAAATCTAAGGTCTAAGGTCACAAAAATTGATTTTTTGCACTATTTTGCAAATATCTTGCTTCCTACCGGGTTTCCGCCATTCATATTCGTTATCAATATTGTAGCGGATTGAATTCCCTACAACTTTTGTTTGAAAAAACATTCTACACGTTGAATCTTTTCAAAGATAGAGGGCGGAAAGCGCGGAGTTAGAGCATCTTCAAGGTCAACCGGAAGTATTGGTCAAAAACACGCCATGTACAGTTCATTAATTATTGATAAATAAACAATTATTATTATTTTTCATTTCTCATCAACTATAATAATTATTTTACTTAATTAAATTAAATATCTGTCTATTCCAGCGTTTCCCAAATTTTTGGCCTGGGGACCCACCTTCATTGTGGGTCGCGACCCATAGTTTGGAAACCACTGATCTATTCAATAACACTTATAACCCATTTGTATAATTAAAAAATAATTGAGGGACAAACTTCAATTACATTTCAATTACATTCTTAAAAAAGGAAATAACGTTTTTAAAAGCATTTGAGAAACTGCCGAATTTGAATCAACTTGCAGCAGCATTTGAAGGAGAAAACTGTTCGGTTCGAATATTATTTGATAATAGAATTCACATCTTGTTGGCAGTTTCAAATGTGCAGCAGCTCACCAATTTCAATGGTGTTCATTATAAAGTTTTAAACTTGGTGCTCTTTAGCTTGTGGCCACTGTAATAGGCAAGCTTGTTCCAATGCTTTACCATATTAGAGCGATATGAATGAAGACATAAGATTTGAACCCGAAATCATCGAATACCTGGAGAAATAAGTGTCATCAAAAGCGATAAAGAAGAGGACTTTGAAGAATTACAGCGGTTAAGAAGATGTTTAAAATCATAAGTTGTGGTTCTCGTAATTTTATTTTTGTTTTCATTTCCACAATCATAAATGTATTGAATCTTTTCTAATAAAGATATTAATTGAGAATTGCTCACAATTAAAATCATAAGTGGTAGTTCTTGTAATTTTCATTTTTTTTAAATTTCCACATTCATAAATGTACGAAATATTTTTTAATGAAAACATTGATTGAGAATTTCTCAAAATTGAAATCATAAGTAGTAGTTCTTGTAATTTTATTTTTTTTTCATTTTGACAATCTAGAAAGTATGGAATATTTTTCAATAAAGGCCTTAATTGAGAATTTCTCACAATTGAAATCATAAGTTGTAGTTCTTGTAATTTTCATTTTTTTTTTATTTCCACATTCATGAATGTACGGAATATTTTTTAATGAAAACAGTGATTGAGAATTTCTCACAATTTAAATCATAAGTAGTGGTTCTTGTAATTTTATTTTGTTTTATTTTGACAATCTAGAAAGTATGGAATATTTCTCAATAAAGGCCTTAATTGAGAATTTCTCACAATTGAAATCATAAGTTGTAGTTCTTGTAATTTTCATTTTTTTTTAATTTCCACATTCATAAATGTACGAAATATTTTTTAATGAAAACATTGATTGAGAATTTCTCACAATTGAAATCATAAGTAGTAGTTCTTGTAATTTTATTTTTTTCATTTTGACAATCTAGAAAGTATGGAATATTTCTCAATAAAGGCGTCAATTGAGAATTTCTCACAATTGAAATCATAAGTTGTAGTTCTTATAATTTTCATTTTTTTTTAATTTCCACAATCATAAATGTATGGAAATGTATAGATATCAATTGAGAATTTCTGTCGTTCTTATTTTTTTATTCATTTAAGAAGTTATCAATATAAATTGCATCAGAATTAAATATAATTAAGTATTTTCCTTAAAAATTCTATTCATTCTTTTAAGACTCCGAAGATCAGATTCATGTGAAGAACATTTTTTTTCAAGTTGAAAATATTTACATTGGTCAAAATGTACATATTCAAAGAAAACGAGATTTCATAATATTTTCTGACATCCAGAATTACAACACTCGTAACAAGGACACTTTCTTGATACCATCATTCAATTATAGCAATCAAAATTCTAAACAAATCGACTAATTCTTTCAAAAAATGTTGATGAAACTTCCACAGACTATATCTCGATGAATTTTTTATGACTTTCTTCAACAGATTCTATTAGGTAGGAACATTGGTTTCGGAAGAAATTCAAAGAAGCCGCATACATGTCCAACAATGTATTCAGCCAAGCCAGCGTAGAGATACGCAACATATGGAAATCCATAATCAAGCGAAAAATGACTTACTCTCGCCATACCATCAAGTAAAGAAATGGAAAAGAAAATTGATATTTTCTTCAGAATACTACTCAGTTTCAATATGATGTTCTTGCAAACTTTCGTATGACCAAAATAATTACACTAGTTTACAGCTAATTTACGACTGTAATGCCAAAGGCAGGTCTTTATTAATTTTCAGTACCTAAATGCGAGAGTGATAGAAAAAGTTTCCTAACATGGAAGATTTTTGAGTTATGATTTTTTTTACAAAAATTCAACGAACACGACATTCCAAATTTGCTCTTTCCCTAAATTGAGGAAATTGTTTAAAATCTGGCAATACAGCGTCTAAAACAAGTTTAAAAGCCGTTCTGCTCCATAATGGTAACAAAAGACCCTCTATTTCTCTTGCACATGCAGTTGCCAAGAAGAAAACATACGAAAGTATGTCACTTATTCTAAATTCAATAAGTTATAATACATATAAGTGGCAAATATGTAATGACCTAAAAGTAATAGGATTATTACTAGGTCTTCAGGGCGGATTCACGAAGTTTTGCTGTTTTCTTTGCCTTTGGAACAGTAGGGCAGCACAGAGCCATTATCAAGTAAAAGAATGGCATCCGAGAGATAAATATATTCCAGTTCAAGCGAAGGATACATCTTGTTAATCCCGTTTTGTTACCTCCATTACACATCAAACTGGGGTTAATGAAAAATTTATAAAATCATTGGACAAAGACGGATATTTCAAAGACGTTTTTCCAAAATTAAGTGATGAAAGGCTCAAGGAAGGTATTTTTGTTGGACCACAAATAAGAAAACTACTTAGTGGTTGACAGTTTGATCAAAAATTAAGAATTGTTGAATTATTTGTTTTGTCTAACTCCACGGGCAGGTAAGTATTATTAAATAAATTGATACTCAATTAGAATAAATATATACCTAAGTGAGTATTGATAATGAATACAAATAGCCAAATAGCTGAAATCCATAGGAATATCGATTTTTGTTACCTTTGACCTTAGATGTTGATAATCGTGTAACCCCTACTATATGTAGGTTCTAATGCAACACAAGTTTATACGAGTTCATAACGGAGTATCTCAAATCCCGAGGTGAACTTATTGATATGACTGGACTGTATTTCAAGGAATTTTTGGATAAGTACCAAACACATTTTAATATATCTATTTACATAGGTACATACTCTCAAAAAATACTGATTCAAAATGAGCTCCAAACATGAGTGGAAAATTATTTAGAAGCGATTGCTTCTTCAGATAGTGTTTGTTGAATCTACATTCTATCAACAATATACTTATATACAAAACTTTAGAAAAAATATCACTTGACACTGATTCAGCGAAAGCGTTCGAGGCCAATTCAATATGCAGTGGCCGCTCCACCGTGGTGTAAAGTTCCAAAATGGCCCAAACCACTCAAAGAGTCAGGCGCTGAAGGTGTAGTTTGACAAACATACCAGTCACTTAGAGCCGTCGCTCCAGGTACTTGCGGGGAGGAAATATGAGGAGAAGCTGCAACTGATATGCTTCCCGTGGAGGAAGTATTCGATTCTTCGCCGTCGCTTTCGTAGTGATGTGGCGACCTTCCAGAACATCCGTGAACTTTCATATGCTTTCTAAGGGAGGAGGGATGCGTGTAGGATTTATCACACCCTGCTATCCGGCAGTTGTAAGGTTTGTCCGAAGTGTGAACGTGTGAATGTTTTTTTCTGTCTGAGGAATTGGCAAATCTACGGTCACAACCTTCGTATTCGCATTTGAAGGGTTTCTCTCCTGAAATCAAGAAAAATGTATTAATTTTGTATGCTTGAACTGGATTATGAGTTTGATCTTGGACAAGTTGGAGAATTGACTTCCAGAGACTTCCATTACCATATATAAACACTACCAACAGGCATATCAAGAAAGTTTAGTTGAAAGTGCGGTACGAAGTGATCTTATGAGGCGGTAGACATTTGAGTATCAGTTTTTGTAATAATGTACCTACACAACTTGGTCACAGTAGAATAATACAACCAGTAGACTCTCTTACCACGTGATCTGCCCGAGTTGCCGGGGACCTTTAATCGCTCTTAGGATGCGACTCTCATCCGACGCGTTCAGTGCTGTAGTACCGAAGGATTCGACGGTACCACGAGCATCGGATTAGTTTTAATAAATGGTCGGAAATTGATATTGTCTTCAGTTTATTTGCTGTTGTTATTATTGTTTTAAGTTTTTGTAGTTGGCCAGTAGTTAGTTATTGTTCTTTGTTTTATTAGTAAGTGATTAGAAAATGGGAGACGTAAAAATACATTAATAAAGAAAGTACTGATATAGGTAAGATAATGTCATTTATGTTATTGATTATGTTCGATTATGTTATTGAACAATATTAAACAATACATTTCACTGTTTTGCCATTTTCAATTTTAGGAAGCTCTGGGACAAACGATACACCATTATTAGATTTAGCCATCCCTTTTACTTCAACGTAATTCCCGAAATCTAGTACATTGCCAAGAACCTTTGAGAAAGACGACGTACCGCTAATAGATTCAGCAGTCTATTTCACCCCAACATCGTCCCCTAAGTCAGTAAGACTTAATTTCAGACACCTGCGATTTTATCAAGCCATACACCTAGGAAGGAAAAGCTGAGAAAAATTTCAAAGACGTTACAATAGGAAAACGTTGCTTCAAAAAGACAGAACGAAAAACTGTGCAAAGAAAATGAAGAGTTGAGATGGAAACTTGCAGATGCGTCTAATTTGATATCTTTAGATCACCTACAATAAGTGATTGTCAAGGCTTGCCCAACAGGAGAGATCGCTGATTTTCTCAACTCACAATTATGCCTAAGTCAAAATGCTCCCAAAGGTATAAGATATAGTATTGAATTTGAATACAAATGTTTACAATATACTTTTCTGTAACTAAGGTATATAAAAATGTTTTGATGAAACTGTTTTGTTTGCCAGCGCCACAAACTCTAAGAAAATTATTTAGTGGACTACAAGTATCCTGTAGCTTGGAAAATGACTCTTGGTTTTCTTGCTAATGAAATATAATTTTATATTATGGAATAAAACTATTACATACGTTGACATAATTAAATTTTATACTGAACAAAAAAAAGTATCCTACTTGAAGACTAACTTGAAGAAAATAAAAGTTGCATCCCAGTTATTCAGTGCCACCGTTTCAACAGCTTCAAAAATGTATACCACAAAATCTTCTATGATATCCTTAAATTTAGATTTCATATGAGCTGACGCCTATGGTAAAAGAACGAAATTGGCTCCGCACTTCGTCTCGAGGTCACCGAGAACTTTATGAATTTATGAATGAAAGTAGTGGGAGTGGAATTAACCGTCATTTGTCCTCTACTGTGTTTCGTAATAGTAAAAATTAATGAATGATCATCATAAATGCAAAACGTTAACATAACAAGGTATAGAATTGTTAATCTCACTGATACTATATTTTCTAACAATGAAACTTGTCTTTAAAAAAGAAGGTCCTAGTTATGATATCAAATTCCACATAAATTCAAAAATTTTGGGGATCGATACAGTTATCACATTAACGGGGACATCAAAGATAAGTCAGTAGTAAATGACATAGATGGTTCACAATAGCATCAGAAGAAAAGACAAAAAGCTAGATTGGTAGTGATGAACCCACAACAGTCTGAACTTTATTCATTATTCAAGTTACACAACCCCAGTGGTTTCTTCTGTTACATCACCTTCGATGAAAATATCAGTAATAATAATCCTAATCATTCAGACCCACACAATTCCCAGTCCAAATTCACTTTGAAGAATTCATACAGGTGATCCCAGAAATACCGGGCCTGACCTAGAGATGGCGGTAGTTGTTTTTGAGAAATATCACGGTATTAGAAAGTACACAATCTATAAAGTATATGTTTCAAGTTTGAAAACGCTGCGTTGTTTAGTATTCGTTTGGCAGCCATCAATATCGAAGATTTTTGGTGAATTTACTCTGGGTGAGTCAGCTCCTTCGTTTACATCAGTAAAATATTGGGTAGCAGAGTTAAAACGAGGCTGTACGTGCTGCCAATACAAGCATCACAGTGGTCGACCAAATGAGGTGACGACTCCAGAAATGGTGATTTTTTTAAGGACAAAACACAAGCATTTCCGGAAAATCTTTAAGGCGCTCTCAGAGCGGTGCCTGTGCGAAAGTAGCGATTCACCTTGGATTTGAATCGCTGGGGATTAAATCCATTTGAGAGAACGTTCTTAGAAAATTTATTTCATATAAACGCAGTTCTCCAGATGAATGTTTTTGAACAGTGAAGTTCGAAGTATACTGAGTTGAACCTCGAGACGATGAGCAGCCACAGTCCGTTGCGTATTTCTGATATGTACCGTTCTTGACTCGGCGAGTGTCATTCGTTTACATTCCAAAAAATATTTTGGTAAATTTTCGTTATGTGGACACCCGGCAATTTTGAAAAAATTTTTGACTGTACTTACGTATTTTGATGCGTAGATAAAATATTTTAGACGAAGCGGCGTTGCCGCTTCTACTATAAAGTA